CGGTGTGCCCATAAATTGTTCCTTTGCTACAACGCGCGACGCCCTGAGATACAGTTCGTGACACTCAGAAGTAAACAGGTTCGTGTGAAGAAGTGATCAGAATACCAAAAGGCTGTGTAAAGAAGAACAATAAGAGGCGCGAAGCTAACGATCACAGACACTTGATATGAAAACATCCACCGCCATTTCGTCAGAGCATACCAAAACTTAAGCATAAAAGAATGAAGACTCCTTACAACCGAAGGCATCAAACGCGATCACCTACCCAACTGTGTTTCACACAAAGACGCAAAGAAAAAGAGCTGTGGATTCCCCTGCACTGCCCGAGCCTTGGATGCGCCGTCCGGCGCCCGCAGCAATGCTGCAGGCCTTGTGGACTGCGCCTGCTCCGAGCTTTTTAATGTGGCGAAATCGGCGGCCTGATTCGAAACGTTTCCCAACCTGCTAACATTCGCTCCACGCAGTAGACGGGCGCCTGACTCTGACTGACCCGACTGGGGCGGCGCGCGCAGACAAGGGGGGGGGGGGGGGCCCAGAGCGCAGGTGGTCAAGGCCGACTCAGAATATGGCTTGCATGTATGCATTTGCATGCATAACGCAGCAGGCCCGCGGCCCGGTCCGTGCCAGGTCCGCCGGCCGGTCAGACGATATTTCGGAGGAGTCGGGAACGTGTCGTCGGGCCGTGGATGACGCCAGGAATAAACGCCGCAGTACCCCTCCCCCTCCCCACGCCTAGCCAACCCAACAACTCATGCGACTTTTCAGAGCCGCATTTCACCGGTTCTTCTTCCAGCGCCGTCACAAGTACGCGCGGCTCATTTTCAGACGATCCACTACCTGTCGCGTAGCAAGATCGTCAACACGGAGGTGCGTGAGCTGTCGCGCGTGGCTCGAGGCAAAGTGCGCCCTGGCGACACGGACGACTGGAAGAACGAGCAGCTGCTGGTGCCGCCGCTGCCGCCGTCCAACCTGCGCGGCTGTCATCTGATCAAGATCCAGTACGACGTCTACGTAAGTCCGCCGGCCACCCACACCGCGCCGAAGCTCAGGCCCATGTCCGCGGGAATGTGCCGACTGTTCATACACGATCATGATGAATTCGGCCTTAACGGACGTGTGGTTTTGTGTGGTATGGTTTGACCGCTCGCATCTGATCACGATCCAGTGCGACGTTTACGCGGCCTGCATCTCATCACTATCCGGTATGTGACCCGCACGTCTCGACTGCTCGCAACCTACCAAGGCCAGACGACGTCCGTGGACGTGCGGCGACCTAGCTTTTCACACATCATCGTGATCCATTTCACGACGTATTTCATGAACTACCGATTGCTCGCGGGGAGTCACGAATAATTCCGGATTATATATTAAACGAGTGATTAAGGATTGTCTATCACTGATGTCGTTGGACGCATCTCTCATTTATAATAGACGAGGATGTACGACACATCCCAGCTGTCCCAACTCAACCCAATTTTGGTGAACCATGTATTGGAAAATGCTGTAATGCATTGGATATGGGATTACAATTCATTTGCATGACTTGGTTATGTACATTTGTTGCATATACGTTAAAAGCTTATGCTTTGTAGGTGTGTCGCTAAGTTTGTGCTGCTCACTGGATAAGATAACGAGGCGAAGGAAAAGTTGCGGGAGAGAGAGACAGAGAGAGAGGGAGAGAGACAGAGAGGGAGGGAGAGGGAGAGAGGTGAGAGGGAGAGAGAGAGAGGAGAGGGAGGAAGGGGAGAGGAGCGAAGAAGGAGGAGGAGAGAGAGGCGGGAGAGAGAGAGAGGAGAGGGAGAGAGAGAGAGAGAGAGAGGAGAGGAGAGGAGAGAGAGAGGAAGGAGGAGAGAGAGAGGAGGAAGAGGAGAGAGGAGGGGAGGAGAGAGGAGGAGAGAGAGAGAGAAGAGAGAGAGAGAGAGAGAGAGAGAGAGAGGGAGAGAGAGAGGAGAGAGAGAGAGAGAGAGAGAGAGAGAGAGAGAGGAGATAGAGAGAGAGAGAGAGAGAGATAGAGAGAGAGAGAGAGAGACCCACGATCACATTGCCCATCACTAACCCACATGATTATTAGAAATCCATTTATCGGTGCTGGTGCGAACGTGATGACGTACGGAGCGTGCACCTCGCCGACACCAGGATCGCGGCTTCTCACGACGATTAGCGGTCCAGCGCGCGCCGACAAAGGCCAGGGCCGGCTCCACCATCAGCCGCGATCGACCGTGCCGGGCGGCGGCTCGGCGGCAGGCGCCGAGTACTCACTGGTGGCTCGTGCGGCCGCCGGTGTCCCATCGCCTGTGGAAGGGACAGGTTGCGTGGTGTGCGTGCTAGGCACACGCCGTACATGTACATGTGTGCGTAGTGCAGCTTACTTAACAGTATTGATGAGCTTGAAACTAAATATCATAGCTGTACAGTTGCACAAAGAATATATGACACTCGAGAGAGCGAACTAATCTTCTCTGTTCGAGAGGGCGAACTAATCTACTCTCTATGCCTGAGAAATGCATTGAACCGCATCTTTAGCAATCTGTTTTTCTCTATTTCGTTTGCGTCAAGTCGGGTGAGCTGGTGACCACACATGAGCAAATAACAAGCGACATTGAAGCCCAAATTCCAAGGCGAATGCGGGAACGATGACAGTCGCGCTTGTCAGGCGGAGAAAATTACTTGTAAATTAGACGATTAGCTCACCGATGGCTTTGACACTATTTGGTGTCCTTAAGGTTCGGAAGTCCGGAAGTTCCCAGGCGTTTCCCATGATCACGCTCCGTAACATTGAGCAAATGACACCATTATCAGCCTGAGATATGTCATTCAGCTGTAACATTGGTTAAGCCGCGTGTGTTCTAGACACTGTGACTGAATGCCAGTCATATTCACGACACGTGCGACTACATGACGTCACCAGCCCGGATAGCTCGCCTCCACGCTGTCAGAGCCTACGGTAGTATGGACAAGGCGGGCTGATGTGGCAGGCTCGGCTCCAGTTCAGTTCAGGCCGTGGCTGCCGGTAAGCTGCCCGCATTAGGCGAGCCGAACAGAGCGTTGTGGGATTTAGTCTGCAGTGCTGCGCATCAAAGCGAACCGTAACATGGCGAGGGGGTCGGGACGTGTGGTCTGGTTATGGGTGGCATTCGCGCGCCAGGTGTCTGCCGGTAGCACTGGGTACATCACCAATACCTCCTGTGCCGGTGGGCAGGCCGCTGCCACCCCGTGGTGCCGCTGGACACGTCACCCGGGACCGGTGCCACTGCCGGCTTCGCCACTCATACCCCGCGGTGCCGCTGTATAAGTACACCAGTGGTGGCGCGTGGTGCAGCTTCTCTGCCGCATTGGTGACCTATTGTGCCCCTGAGTACGCTATTGGTGCCTGTCGGCGGTTAAGAGCACGCTGCTAGTGCACCATGATTCTGCTAGACACGCACACCACCGGGTCCCTTGGTGCCGCTGGGTGCACCAGTGGTAGCGGATGGTAGCCCTGCTGAGCTCGTCACCGTCTGTCAGCGGCGGCTCAGTTTCACAGCTCACGCAGCCAGCGACGGGTCGCCACCGACCTCACCGTCCGGCTCGCGCCAGCTCGCACCAGCCCGCGCTCGGCTGCGGTTGTGCGCGATGATTGGCCCACTGCGGCCGTGGTGACGCCCATCCGCTAACGGACGCACGAGATGCCTGGGCCCGGAGAGCCATGCACGGGCGACTGGCAGCTCCGGCGCCCCAGCTCAGCCTAGCCGGCTCGCAACGCGCACATCTGGAGCAGCGGGATGCTCAGGGCCCGCCGCCTGGTTCGGAGGCGACGGTGATAAAGGGTGCGGAGCGCCACGGTCCGAGTGCTGAAAGTTTGCTGATGACAACGCTCCGCTACTGGGACGTTGGTTTTCCGGGGTTACATGCAACGGTTGGACTTTGGCCAAACCGATGACAGCTAATTTAGCCGTCGTGCATGACAGACGCGAGCCGTACCGATTAAGGATTTAACGAGCATGCATCTCACGAGCATGCCCAGACGACAACCTCATTTCGACGCCTCCACCCGCGGCATCCCGGCGGCGGCGGCTCGGCTCCGCTCGGGCGGCGCAGTCTCCCGTATCCGGCGGGCCGCAAACGGCCGGGCCGGCAGCCGGGCTGCACTCGGCTCGTGGGTGGTCGACACAGATAGCCAGCGGGGCCCGGCCGATGGGCACGACAGGGGCTGGGAACGCAGCGGGCGCCCCGCGGGGCGCGGACCACAGCCCGCTCGCCGCTGTGGTCCGGCCGACACCGTTCCCGGGCAGAATGGCCTCCTCGTCCGATGGTCGGCAAATCATTATGCAGAACGGTGGCGAAATGGACCGTGATGCGTTCAGGCGGCGTTAGCGATAAGTGAGGTAGCTGGTCTGGTGGGCGGACGTGGGTCGTGTGCAGACCCAGTCTGGGCCACAAATGTTCGGTCCGAGCGAGACTGCATCGGAGAGCCATGAGTTCGTGACACTTCGGCTTCAAGTCGTTGTCCATGTTTCTAGGGCATCCACGTTTCCTTTATCACGAAACTCGCGCCTCGACTGCATTGGAAGCCATGACTCCATAGTTATGAGTGCCAACGCCGATGAGTAGGCATGTGTGCGTCATCATGATGCATTGTTAATTCTTAAATTAAAACAACGAAATGCTACAAAAACAGAATAATGAATGGGCTTTCCTATAAAAAATCATTCGTGAGCTTTTCAGGATTTTCGGGCAGACAGTGCTGGCTGAACCCATCAACACAATTGAAATATGCAGTCAAGCACGATAGACGCAAAATTTATTTCAGCGTTTGCATTGCTCACTTCGGTCATCATTTCTGATGCTTTGAGCACTCGGGAATGCGCTCTGATTGAATTCGTATTACCAAAGTTTAAGTCAACGTCCTTTGCAACACTGCAAAAAGTGCAGCCACAGCGCACCAGCTTCGGGCCCAACTTATGCTTCCCTTATGCTTCACATCCCGCGGTCCTGCAGATTGTCCGACTTGGTCCGCACCACCAGCCTGTTTTACGTCCACGGAGCGCGGAGCTCCGCCTACAGAATGACTGGACGGATGACAGTGTCGAGACTGACTGGTGACCGCGCTGTCCGGCAGTTCACCATCCGGCCCGACAACCTAGAGAAGGAGATCAAGCTGCAGCTGCCCGTCACCATCGCCTCCTACCCGTACCGCAACGCCGACGGCACGCTCAAGCGGAAGCGCGGCGCCCACTACCCGACCACGCTGCCCATGCAGCGGCCCTGGCTGGACAAGAGCAAGCCGGCCGCCTGAGCGCCCGGCGCCGGGCCCAGCCGAGACTTCCCGCACAGCGCCGCCGATCGGTCACCCCGGCCGGCGGGACCGGCGCTGGACGGGGCCGTGACGTCAGCGGCGGGGGGGGGGGGAGGGGGAGCGCTGGTGGAGCACCGCCAGGCAGTGATGTCAACGCCGGCGGAGCACCGCTAGGCAGTGATGTCAGTGCCCGCGGAGCACCACTGAGCAGTGATGCCAGCACCGAGGAGCGCCGGCACAGCGCCGCTGGTCAGCGACGACAGGGGACTGTTGGGCGGCGGTCGCGCTGCCGCCGCAGCCCGACGCGGCGCCAGGGGCTACGACGGACGACTGTCCGAGCCGGCAGCCGCCGCCAGACGTGTCGCCTTACACCTTCTGCGCAGACTCCGTGCGGGCCCGCAGCCGCCGGGCGGCGGACGTGACCTGTATGCGTGTGTGCACGCTGTTTCAGGCGCTGCAGTCCAGCGGGCCGGCTGAGTCATGTTTCCTGCCTGCCACGAGGAATGGACTAACTGAACCGCCGAACACGTGTCAGTATACCGCCAGGCCGGAAGCTCAGCTGGTGCCTGTGTCATATATCGAGCCCGGGCCTCCCGCGCGCCGCCGAGGTCGTCCGGGCACAGACTCCACTATGCCCGGTGGCCCGCGTATTCCGGGGTTCGATCCCGCCAGATCCGTCGATCCGACACGGCCGGGTGACGTGTCCACTGTCCACCACAACCCGGCAGCAATCGGTCCCAATGTATTGATGATAGCGCGGCCGACCGTCTGCTCACTAACTGACGCCAACCGTATCGCTAGGTTAATAAATACATCACTGACCGAGAGATGGAGAGACGAGGCTCGCGGTCGCGGCGGGTCGCTCGCCGCGCCGCCGGACGCCCCCAACACGCCGACACAGGAGCCGCCACCCGAGATACACGCTCACAACTCCGGCCAGCCCGCCAGCCGCGGTCACAGCGAGACGCTTTGTGCACGTGAAGCAGAGCGTCGGGCGACCTCACGAGGCCGCTCAGCCGGCGCCGGCGGCGCCGGCGGCGGCGCGGCTGGACGGCAGGGCCGCGGTCCAGACGCCGCGCCCACCGGCACGCAGCAGGCGCGCGGTCCCAACCGGAATAACTGGGCCCAAGGCCCGACAGGGACGACACCGCGTCAACACCACGCCCGGTCATGCAGAACCCCCCCGCTTCGATGCCCGCCCGAAAATATAACAAACACAGGTCTGCGACACGCTCTTTCACGCGATCCACTCTGCATAACTGCGGCGGACAGTAAATAAACACGATAACAGGCAGAGACTTAACGTAACACACGACCGTCACGCCCCCCGGGCGGCAAAGGCGCAAGACGTCCGCCGGTGCCACAGGTGCAATAAAAAGCGCCACGTGATGCCGAGGCGACCGACGAGCGTGCGCCGTCAACACGCTTGCAGGTGGCTCGCCGGGCAGGTGGCCGGCGCCGCCGCCGCTGCCGCCATCTGGCGGCCGGGATGCCCTCTGAGTCCTCTGTCACATCCGCCAGCTGTGCCCGGTGGACAGCCTCTTGAAGAGGGGTCGGCGCACGCCGGCCCGCCCCCCGCCGCCGGCCAGCGGCACGTCACTTCAGGAATGCGGCGAACACGGCCCACATGACGCCATTGGTGCCCGGCTTGGCCGCCTCGGCATCCAGGTCCAGATCGGTAAGCTCCCGCACCCGCTTCATCGCCACCTGTCGGAGGCAGAGCACATCTCGAGTTCGACGTCCACCGCAAGGGTGCAGCAACCCATCTCACAAGACGCATAACTCCGTTCGCACATTCGGCGCCACGTAACGGTAACTGTCGCCGACGGCCAGGCTGGGCTGGGCTGGGTTGGCAGCGCAAACCCACCTCGTAGTCGTCGTCGGAGAGCGGCGCGAAGGCGTTCTCTAGCACGTCGGAGGCGTGCGCCAGAAAGATGAGCGACAGCATGCGCTTGTCCATGCGGTGCGGGTCGTTGACCCACTTGCTCAGCACGGCGTCCTGCACCTGGGGACGACGGCTGACGTCACCGGCGCAGCACCGCTGGCGCGGCCCCGGCAGCCGCGGCTCGTCGGCCGCCATAGCTCCCCGCAACGCTGGGTACGCTGATACGATCAGCATACCGAGCCGGCGCCAGGCTGACCTGCAGACGTTGGAGATCGACCCGTACCGGAATAAATTTCGAGCCCCCCCCCAAAAAAAAATAGGGACGGTGTCTGATCACGAAAAGCGCGAGTCGTAACCAAGACTCCACCCCGAAAACTGACTGCCTTTTTAATGACTCAAAGAAACTGCCGTCCATCACACACGTTCCGTCACATTTATGTTCTTCAACACAATTCCGTCACCTTTACGCACATCAACATCTGCCCAGTGTGTGTGTTTTTGCTGCATCAGCCAGGCTAAGACGTTGACGACTATGCGTAATATGAATGGAAGGGCAAATCTGACGGGTCTAGCGTACCTTCTTGATGAGGCGCAGCTTGGCCTGGTTGTCGGTGACCGGATGGGTTGTCATGTCGAACAGCAGGAAGTTCTGCTTCTCAGTAGTCAGTACGCCCTTCTCCACTAGGTTCTTGGCCAGACGCTCGCGCACGTTGCGCAGCTGGTACCGCAGCTTCAGGGGGTTCCAGGTCTCGCCTGAATCGTACGAAGCCGATCATTTTTCACATCCCTCAGTGCGGCCTCCTCTGAAGACTAGAGGCCTTGGGAAACCTGTTCTGATTATTGCAAACGTGCCGCCAAGAACCCTAACGTAGTACCAACGTTTCTCCTTCCGTTTCCGAGTAAATAAGCCCAATGGGGCATCCCTCTAGGTAATTTGTAATGCATGCTACTTTAAATAGCATGCCGTGTTTCAAGTCATTTCTCGCAAATAGGCACTCCAACACCTCCCGCTTGCACGAGCATGGGCCGTTCAATGAGGATACATGGGACCACCATCGACGCAAAAAGCTCCATCCTGAAAACAGCAACAGCTGCATTCACGCCAACCCATGCGCCGTAACATGTAAACGTGGCGCTAACAGCGGCATTCTTTCCTCCCGGGCCGTCTTTAGCCAGGCCCTCCAGCGCCCGTCCCGGCCCGAAGCGCACCGCTGAGGAACTCGATCCAGCTCTGGACGGACTCGGTGGGCTGCGTCTCCTTGATGTGCCGCAGCGCCTCGTCCAGCAGCACGTCTCCCGTCGGCTGGTCATTCTTCAGCGTCACCTGGCGGCGGCGCGTCACACACAGCGTCACCGCCGAACGCGGCGCGCACGGCGAGGGGTGCTGGCGGACACGCCTGTTGACTGTATACCAGTCTGGAGCGTCCTCCATCATTGTGGAAGCTCTGGACTGGTAGGCAGCTCTCGAGAGAGGCCGGTCTGCAAGGGCCGGGCACGCCCAGCCCACCACAACGCAGACGGCTTCAGTGCGCTGGAGGCCCGGCCAGAGTACAGACCGTCCGTACTCACGTAGGGAGGCGGGGGGGGGGGGGGGGGGCGGCCAACTACGGCGGTGCAGGGCGCCGGGACTCACGTGGCGGGAGAGCAGGTTGCGCCGCCGCATGCCGGCCTTGTCCAGCTCGATGCGGCCCCGGATCGCCAGCTCGATCAGCACGCAGCCGCGCAGGCCGCTCGAGATACAGTCGTTCCAGAATGACGTGTACCCCTGGCGGCGGAAAGGCGCGGTGACGCCACGCTCACACAACCACACACGCGCCGACGGCACGGGGCGGTCACTGAGCCAGTGCAGCTGCTGTCAGCACAGTGACTGGCCCATAGCCTGTGGCAGACCTGTCAGGCAAACCGAATAATTCAAACAGGAAGGGACCTGCCAGCTCCATACACATACACTCTTGGGGTAGCACTCAGGTGCATACATGCAGACGCCTGTACACATACGACCACCACCAGGTCGTCTTCCGGTCATGTGCCCCCGCGCCTGTCGTCACCAGCCCCGACCGCCGGACCGCTACCCACTGACCTCCTTGTCCTTGAGGCCGAGCATGAGGACCTCCTCCATGAGCGTCAGCCGGGTCTCCTTGCTGTCGCCGTCATACTCGCGGTCGCCGAACTGTTCGGCCTCCTCCTCGTTGGCGCCGCCCTCCTCGGCCGGCCGATCGCGCGCCACGTGCCGTCGCTGCACCAGACCCTCGGGCCGACTCATGGCGCCGGCTGGCTGTCTCCTGCCGGGCGCAGATGGCAGCGTGACGTCACAGGTCGCCGCCGTACCAGACATCGGGACACCCTTAAAACGGCACCTACGGTCCGCTGCAAATGCCGCCAGGGGCGCCACTTTTTCCTTCGATTTCAATTTCCTTACCGTCATAAAGAACTCGGAGGTCAGTCCGTGTGGAATAGGATGCTCTAGGCTATCGCAACTTATTCCGGATAATGAGATCCAGGCCAAGTTCGGCAGTTGTTGATGGCAAGCAGAGTATGATAGTGGAAAAGCATTTGGCCCCAAACTGGAAATCCCGCAAACAATCAAGCAAACCGCTGATCATGCAACATTAAAGGCATAACTAGGAACACTATACCAGTCTGTAACATGGAAAGTCAGTACCTGGATAAAAGAAAACGCACAGACCGGTGGATGCGGGCAACACTAACTCCGCGCTAGCAGAAAGTCCATAATCGTCCGTGCATAGTTGGTACAAGTCTCGAGTCAACCCAGGCTAAAACCACCTCAACCCTCGATGAGACCAGCGCATTCCTGAGTTCTCTGCAAAGGCCGCAAAGCCGCCTGTAAACACGATATCTGCTGGAAACATCATCCGGCCTCATAAGGCGCTTCGACCACTGCCTAATGACTCGTTAAATGGCGCGCCATATGGAGCTGTCACCGGCGTATTATGGGGGCCGGCATTTCGCGAATTCCGCGCGCATTCCCGATCACGAGCTTGGAGGCCCGTGCAGAAGTATCACACAATACGGCGGGCCGGGAAGGTCCGGCCGGGGCGACGGAAGGTGGATCGCGCGGGTACCATTCTTTGACCGTACAGCGACATCGCAATTTTTAATTTAAAAAAACCTTGGGGGACGCGTCCACCGCGTCCTATTCCTGGCCACTTCATACGCACATGGATAA